ATCCTGTATCATTCAGCCTTTCTTTTAATATCCCATTAAAAATCACCATTGCAGAGTCCTCGTCCAAGCTTCTAAGGCTTCTTGAGGGAGCTGACGTTCTCTTCGTGCTTCTAGTCTGCTCTCCGTTTGTTATTGATTGCTCCTGCTTTCTTTTGCCTCTTCTGCCTGCTCTTCCACCTCTACTTTTCTCCCCCAGAATGAACTAGCTCCTCCTGTCTGATAATGAAGGAAATTAAGTGTAGCATAGGATGGGTAAATTGAAATTGGACTTCTGACATGTTAGAATTCTTCAGCCATTTCCTTCTCCATGGGAGAAACTCAGAAAGAGGTGAACAATACGAGAAATACCCTATGTTGATAGATGTTACAAAATGAGTAATATGAGCAAGAAATGTTTTTGATACACAGAAGAAAGGCACAGTTTGGCCTAAGTGCTGTGCAAAATTTTCAGGAAGGGTTATACTGAATCTTCAAAGTCGACTAACATTACTAATTAGGGGAAGGGAGGAGGGGACATCCCAGGCAAAGGAGAGGGAATGAGCAGAGGCTCTCAGAAGGCAAAGTGCAGGATGTGTTTGCAGAGCATGGGGTCGAGAGTTCTAGAGGGTATTTGGTAATTTGAAGAGGTGTCAAAATGTTATATGTAAAATATACACACACACAAACACAGCCTTCTGTGTGTATGCCTTCTGAAACTTTTTACACCTAGACAAACTATATACAACCGTGCATACAGAGTGTGTACTATTTCTTTAAATACAAATGAGATCATCAGTGTGTTTATTTTACTTTTCAGTACATCATGGGCATCTTTCCATGTTCCCGTATCACCAGTACATCTGCTTCAGATTATTCCACTGTTTAGCATAATCACAGAGTATTCCATCAAATGGATAAGAACATTTAAACTAAGCTTTAGAGAAGACTCAGAAGTACTAAAAGGTAAATGAATATGGGTAGTAACATGCAGCTGGGTAATGTAGTTTATAAGGTATCCTCAGTTTCTGGCTTCCTTTCCCAGCGAGCCATCTCATCTTGTTCCTGACTTGCCTCAGTGGAACAGGAGGGGCCAGCTGTCCCCTAACCCCATGGGGAAATTTCAGGCACATCCAGACTCTTCAGAAAGCCCAGGCCAGGCATCCAAGCTCATTTTCCTGTCTGATAGCATCTTTCATAGATAATTGAAATCAGAATGTTTACCCCAACTCATGGGAGTGTGCCCTTACTTACCCTATGCCTTCTATAAAACAGTCGTAGCAGAATAGAGTACACTGGGCTGACATCAGTACAGGAGATAAGCTCATTCAGAGGGGAGGGAGGCAATCTTTTCATTCCCTGAGATTGAACCATCAACCACTAAAATTTCGTTTGGCTTGTGGTTCTGTTATTTTGTTGGTACTTGCAGGGCTGTCACGTAAGTAAAGCTATGACTTTACTTTCACGTAAGTAAAGCTATGTGCAAAACTAAGACCAGTGGCTGGAAGATATATGACAGTAAGTGTTTACAGTTTAAAGAACTTCCTAACAGTATAACAAGAGGTGCTCTAAGGTAGTAATTCTTAATGGCGACCCAAAAACCATTCCTCATGCCCCAAAGCCTTCTCCAGGGCTGATACCGGTTGGGTAGAACTGACTTGCAGAAAGACATTTTTTATTTGTTTGTTTTGCTGAGGAAGATTAGCCCATGGCCACAGATGACAAGTGGTGTAGGTTCATGCCTGGGAACTCAACCCAGGCGACTGAAGTGGAGCACACTGAACTTAACCACTAGCCACTGGGGCTGGCCCCAGAAAAACTATTTTTAACTGACTTGGAAGAAAGGCTATTTTAAGATGCCTTTAAATTTTTTGTGTGTGATAAGATATAACAAAGTTTACCATCTTAACCATTTTTAAGTGTACAGTTCCGTGGTATTAAATACATCCACATTGTTGTGCAACATTACCACCATCTATCCCCATGATTCTTTTCATCTTGTAAAACTCTATACCCACTGAACAATAACTCCTCATTCTCCTCTCCCCTCAGGCCATGGCAGCCATCATTCTACTTTCTATGATTTTCACTTCTCTAAGTGCCTTATATAAAAGGAACAATACAGTATTTGTCTTATTGTGACTGGCTTATTTCACTTAGCATAATGTTCTCAATGTTTATCCATGTTGTAGCATATTGCAGAATTTCCTTACTTTTTTAAGGCTGAATAATATTCCATCATGTATGTATGTGTGTGTGTGTATATATATATATATATGTATAATATCACACACCACATTTTGCATCTTTTGATGGACATTTGGGTTGCTTCCATGTTTTAGTTATTGTGAATAATGCCACTATGAACATAGTGTACAAATATCTCTTTGAGACTCTGCTTTCACTTCTTTGGGGTTTATATCCAGAGGTAGAATTCCTAGATCATATGGTAATTTGATTTTTAATTTTTTGAGGAACCACCATACTGTTTTCCACAGCAGTTGTACCATTTTACATTCCTACCAACAGTGCACAAGGTTTCCAGTTTTTCCACATCCTTGCTACCACTTGTTGTTTTCTGAGTTTTTTTGACAGTAGCCATCCTAATGAGTGATTTGCATTTCCCTAGTGATTAGCAGTACTGAGCATTTTTTTCATGTGCTTATTGCCATTTGTATATCTTGTTTGGAGAAATGTCTATTCAAATCTTTCACCAGTTTTCGAATTGGGTTGTTTGGTTTTTTGGTTGAGTTTTAGGGGTTCCCTATATATTCTGCATATTAAATTCCTTATCAGATATATGATTTACAAATGTTTTCTCCCATTCTGTGGTTGCTTTTTCACTCTGTTGATAGTGTCTTTTGATGCACACACTTTTTTAATTTTCATGAAGTCCAATTTGTCTATTTTTTCTGTTTTTACCTGTACCTTTGGTGTCATATCCAAGGAGTCATTGCCAAATGTAGTGTTAGAAGCTTTTGTTCCATCTTTTCTTCTGAGTTTTATTGTTTTAGGTCTTACACTTAGATCCTTGATCCATTTTGAATTAATTTTTGTATATGGTATTAGGTAAGGGTCTAATTGCATTCTTTTGCATGTGGATATCCAGTTTTCCCAGCACATTTGTCGCAAAGACTATCCTTTCCCCATTGAATGATCTTGGTGCCCTTGTCAAACATTTGACCATATATGTGAGAATTCATTTCTGGGCGCTCTGTTCTAATCCGTTGGTCTCTATGTCTGTCTTTATGAATATGGCTTTAAACTTAATTTTTGTTTTCTAGCCCAACATATAATCCCTGAGGTAATACTTTGCTAGCTCATCTTGTGTCAGAAAACTGTTTTTCAGAATAAGCTGTTGAATATATCCCAAGAAAAGGAAAAGAAGAGAATCCATGTTGTTTGATAATTAGATTTTTGTGGCCTTTAAATGAAAATAATCTAGACTAAAGCGTGTACAAGTCCTATTATTGTTTCATGCTTTCCTGGTTCTGGTAGTTTCAGAAACTGACAACAGAAAAACTAAAAATTGACTGATGAAGTGGTTTGCCTGTGGTAAGCATGCTAATAAACATTTACTCTGACACCTGGAGTCTTTGATTTCCAATTTATTGTTCTTCCCACTATATGTTGAGCTGCCAATGGCTTCTTATTGAAATGCTACTATTTTAGCAGGATTTGACTTTTTAAATTGTCGAAAAATCCTAAATTTATTGTAATTGTAAAGTGATGTGACTAACACTTAGTATTTCTATTTCTCTTTTCCACTTCTGTTTCCATGTCAATTGAAGGGAATTATAAAGAATATCCTTATTTTATAGAGCACGGGTTGGCATACTGTGGCCCATAGGCTAAATCTGGCTCCCAGCCTGTTTGGATAAATACCATAAGGTTTTATTGGAACACAACCACTTAGATCCATTCATGTTTGTATTATCTATGGCTGCTTTTCCGGACAACAGCAGAGTTGAGTCATTGTAACAGCGACCATATGGTCCACAAAGCCTAGAATATTTACAGGCAGGCCCTTTACAGAAAAACTTTGCAGACCCGTGTAATAGAGGAGAAAGTTAAAAAACAAACAACGAAAGCTCTCAGGGAAACCATCAGTTAAACCACTGGCAGATTTGAATTGAGAGTACTGGCTTCTTGAACTTTCCTCTGACCTCAGAATCTAAAAATGTGAGTGAACTTAAGCTCTCATTCCAAATACTAAGTTCTAGATAAATTAATAATGACTTTGATTTTTTTTTTAAATAAAAAATAACTTAGCAACTATTTGTTTAGTGCCAAGTATGTGTGATGCAATGGGGAAGAGCTGGAGAAGTGAAATTATAAATCCTGCCCTTAAAGGAACTAAGGAGTAAAATAGAAATCTGGGGATTCGTCGCCATGTTTTAAGTGTGACTTTTTTCTTTTTTTAGAGTCTGCTGTTACAGAAGAGGATGTGACTTTCTGAATAATCCCGAGGGAGAAGGATGAGTCCAGATGTGCCTCTGCTGAATGATTACAAACAGGACTTCTTTCTGAAGCGCTTTCCACAGACTGTTCTTGGAGGCCCTCGACTCAAATTAGGCTATTGTGCCCCTCCTTACATATATATTAATCAGATTATCCTTTTTCTAATGCCATGGGTTTTGGGTGGAATAGGAACACTCTTGTACCAATTAGGCACCCTGGAAGACTATTACACAGCGGCACTTTCAGGTGGACTAATGCTTTTCACCGCATTTGTCATCCAGTTCACAAGTTTACACGCCAGAAACAAATCGGTGACGGTAGAAAGAATGCTGCCCACAGATATCTTAGCGCAGGAAGATGAGCATGAATTTACAAGTTGTGCTGGTGCTGAGACTATCAAATTTCTAATTCCTGGCAAGAAATCTATAGCCAATACAGTTTTTCATTCTGTTTTTGCTGGATTAATCTGTGGTCTTGGAACATGGTATCTGCTCCCGAATAGAATAACCTTGCTGTACGGCAGTGCAGGAGGCACTGTGCTACTGTTTGTCTTTGGATGGATGACATTATGTATAGGAGAATATTCATTAATTGTAAACACAGCTACAGAGACTGCAACTTTCCAAACCCAGGATACTTATGAAATCACTCCTCTTATGAGACCTCTTTATATTTTTTTCTTTGTTTCTGTAGACCTTGCACACAGGTAATAAGCTGTGAAATACTTTATAGCTTTATTTTTAAGCATACATAGTAAGAGCACTCTCCTGGGTATTAAAAAAATGAATCTATGAATTGAAAGTCATACGGACCAAATCTTTGGATGATAAAGTTGTTTTGATGATTAATCTCTTAGGACTAAGCTATGTTAAACATTCATACTAAAGCAGTAATTAGGTCATGTTGAAGAACAAAGAGAAAACCCGTTATTAGATAAATAAGTAAAATTTCAATACTGTGTTTCACTTTAAATAAGGAGCTATGAATGTATACAATAGTCTGACTGAAACCTATGAAAAAAGATGGAACTTTCCTGTGAGGAGAAAATGAAGGATTTAAAATTTATACACATAAATATTATGTATAGATTGAGTGAATTTATGATGAATAGAATAACTTATTTCTAATTTTGTTGTAGTAACTATATAGAAGGAATATAGATTTTCTAACCAATTTACTACAGAAGAAAAATAGAAAATAGTGTTTTTAACAAAGTTGCTTACAAAATTGTTTGATAACCCCTTTGCTTGCTTTTTCTAAATCTGACTTTTCTTTCTTTGTTTCTGTAGATTGCAGCTTTCTCTTTCACAGGTTAGTGTCCAGGTAGAAATGTACAGGCGTGTTATGGAGTGAATATTTGTGTCCCTCCCAAATTCATATGTTAAAGCCCTAACCCCCAATGTGGTGGTATTTGGATATGGGGTCTGTGAGAGGTAGGATAATGAAGGTGGGCCCTGGTCTGATGAGAGTAGCGCCCTTATAGGAAGAGACACCAGAGAGCTAGTGAGGTACAGTGAGAAGCTGACTATTTGCAAGCCAGAAAGAGAGTTCTCACCAGAACCCAACCATAATGGCACTCTAGTCTCAGGCTTCCAGCCTCCAGAACTGTGAGAAATAGATTTCTGTTGTTAAGCCACCCAGTCTGTGGTATTTCATTATGCCTGCCCAAGCTGACTAAGATTTCTATACCAAGAGGTGGGGTGCTCTTGTACAAAATACCTAAAAGTGTAGAAGTGGCTTTGGAACTGGATAATGTGTTGAGGCTGGGAGAGTTTTGAGGTGTGTTCTAGAAATATGGACAATTCTCGTGAGATCTCAGACAGAAATGAAAGTGTTATTGGAAACTGGAGGAAAGGCAGTCCTTGTTATAAAGTACCAAAGAACTTGGCTGAAACATTTTCCATCGTTTTATGGAAGGTAGAACTTAGGTGGTGAAATTGGATACATAGCTGAGGAGATTTATAAGCAAAGTGTTGAAGGAACAGCTTGATTCCTCCTGATTGCTTATATAAAATATGAAAGGAGAGAGAAGAAGGAATTGCTAAGCAAAAAGGAACTAGAACTTGAAGATTTGGAAAATGTTCAGCCTATCTATATTGCAAAAAAATGAGAAAGTATGTTCTGAAGAGAATGCCAAGGTCCGGATTACCACTCAACAAATAGCTTATGGGATTATATGAACATAAACACTGCCAATTTGGACTAAAGGGTACTGAGACAAGCTGAAATGAATGAAGGCTGTTAGACTTCTTAGATTTGACAGGACAAGGATGTTAGAGCTCTTTGGCTGTAAACATGCACTATTCTTTAAGAAGAGAGAAAAACAACCCCAAAAGTGATTCAGAAATTATCAGGGCTACTGCCTCAGTTTCAACAAGTTAGAAGGCCTCTGCTGGAAGCCTTGGGGGTGGTACCGCCCTGTAGAGCCGTGAGGGTGGGACCCCCATATAGAGCTGTTTGGGCAATGTTGCCGCCCTGGGGGCCTGGAGGGCAGAGTATGGAACTTCTTCAGCATTAAGATCTAATGGAAGTTGCCTTGCTGGGTTTTGAGATTCTTTGGGACCTGTCACCTTTTCCTTTCCTGTTTCTCCCTTTTGGAATGGGAATGTTCATTCCGTGCCTGTCCCACCATTGTGTTTTGGAAGCACGTAACTTGTCTGGTTTCACAGCTTCACAGCTGGAGAGGAATTTTGCCTCAGGGTGGAGCATACTTTGAGTCTCTCCTGTATCTGATTTAGATGATATTTAGATGAAACTAAAGAATTTAGAGTTTATGTGAGAATGAGTTAAGACTTTCAGGGCTGTTGGGATGGAATGAATGTGCTTTGCATATAAGAAGAACATGAATTTGGGAGAGTGGGGTGGAACAGTATGGACTGAATGTTTGTGTTCCCTCAAAATTCGTATATTGAAGACCTAATCCCCAGGGTGATGGTATTTGGAGATGGAGTCTTTGGGAGGTAACTAAGTCATCAGAGTGGCCCTGGTCTAATAGGATTAGTGCCCTTATAAGAAGAGGCACCAAAGAGCTTGATCTCTCTCTCTCTGTCTACTATTCTGAGAAGTTGTCTGTCTGCACGCCAGGAAGAGAGTTCTCACCAGAACCCGACCGTGATGGCACTTAGATCTCAAACTCCCTCCCTCCAGAACCGTGAGAAATAAATTTCTGTTGTTTGAGCCCCCTAGTCCATGGTATTTTGTTATGGCAGCCTGAAATAAGACAAAGCATTTAAAAATATTTAGCCAGTTTGTGTACTGAAACTGACCTGTTCTTAGGTGTCTGCTGTTCCTTAACTCTTAGTCTCTTCTAATTGTGCTGCATTTATGGACCAGAGGAGACATGAGAGGATACCCTTATATTTCTTCACCTAATTAAATATGTAAGAGGAGAATTGATTTATGGGAGATTAATTTGTAATTAGTTTCTTAGTACCATTACCATTTACTAACCATAAAATATATTACAGTTAAATGTTTGATTTTGAAAAGTTAGCAATAAAATTGAGTTTAAATGTGTATGTATACATTTCACCCCTTTTTAAAGATTTAAGTTTATAAGATGATTATTTTCAGAATACATATTCTTGAGTTACCATCTTGCTCTGCCATTTCTGAAATCAGATGTTATATGCCTGCTATAATACATCTTTGCAAATGATGCCCTAGATTCTTTCATTTTAAAAAAAATCTCACTTAATTTATAATTTGGTTACCTTGACTTTTTGTGTTACTCGTTGCTAAATGAAAAGCCGTGAAATGTTTTATACTCCATTCTAGTGGAGTGTAGTAACACTAGTTTGATTTAATATACAATTTTAATATTTAATTATAAAGAGATTTTTTCAACTATAACTAAAAGAAAAGGCAAAGGCAGTCCACAAATCTGTTTTTAAAGAAAAAAATGACATGTTTGTGCAGAAAAGTTACCCCCTACTTCACTTTTAGAAAATTTTTAGCTTCTAATTAACAAAGTAATAAAGAATCAATATCTTTATACAGTAGGTGTGATATAGCAGATAAATAATGTATAGAATGTGTGCACTATTCAAATTTGGACAGGTGTCAGATATATAAAATTATGTCTTGATTTTATTTCAGAGAATGTGAAAGTCGAAGAGTTGAGCCCCACAGTGTAGTAATCTTTTCTCTTTCCCCATTCTTTATTCTACCCAGTACAGTTGTATATTAAAATTTTTAAATGACTTCTGTGCATTTATATTAAAGACAAGTGTTAAATTTACAATGCTTAGTTCATGGACTCTTAGGAATTGTTTGAATGAATGGTAGATATTTATTTCATCTTAGCCACTATGAAACAGAATATCTTTTTCTGGGCATGTGGATCTTAGTACAGAATTTGGAATATTTTTATGGTTGTTAGATTCAAAACAAAGTTGTTTTCTTGAGGGCTTAGACTTTTTTTGCCCTAGAAAATTCCTCTTGCATTATCAGAAACATTAGAATTTAAACATTTTTTCTTATAAAAGAATTAACCGCAATAATCATCTATTTGGGGCTGAGTCATACACACAGGAAGGTAATCACAATGTTTGGTTAGTTCAGTTACATGTGCTTATATTTATTTAAGATGTCCATGTATATAAATACTTTTCTGTGCGATTGCTTGCTGCTTACTTTAAGAACAAAAAGGGTAAATTGAATTTGGGTAAAATATTTCCTGAGTACACATTATTTTTACACAAATTATCTTATCTTTGAATATGTTAACAAGAGAAGTATTTTCTTTAAAAAACCCCACAAAACTATACAAATCTGCATGTTTTCCTTGACCTCCCTGTGGCTTATTGTGTGTGGTTTGGTTTTCTTTTCTGTTACTTGAGTGTTTTTTTCTCAGAATGAAATGAATTTTATTTTAAAACCGCACTATAGAAAGTATTGTCGTCTAATATAGCATCACACTGTTAACCTTGTGTTCATTAATCCTCTGCTTGTAAAAATTTGAAGGACAAGCATTATGAGGCACAGGTGCATTAGCTGGCCTAGTCCTGGTATCTGTGTGAGCAAATACATTATCCCATTATTATATCCATAGTTGCTATACATTTGCTTCTGGACTGTTAACATTCACCTAAGTGGATAATTATTACAGAAGTTGCCTTTCTCCTTGACTTTGATTCCCAGCAGCTCAGTTATTCAAGTACAGTTATGTTACAGGCATACCCGATTTTACTATGCTTTGCTTTACTGTGCTTTGCAGATAATGCGTTTTTTACAAATTGAAGGTTTGGGGCAACCCTGCACCGAGCAAGTCTGTTGGCACCATCTTTGCAACAGCATTTGCTCACTTCCTGTCTCTGTGTCACATTTTGGTAATTCTCACGATATTTTAAACTTGTTCATTATTCTATTTGTTAGGATGATCTGTGATTAGTGATCTTTGATGTTACTATTATAATTGTTTTGGGGCTCCACGAACTGTGCCCATATAAGATGGCGAACTTAATCGATAAATGTTGTATGGGCTTTGACTGCTCCACCGATGGGCCGTTCCCTCATCTCTCTCCGTCTCCTCAGGCCTCCCTTTTCCCTGTGACACAATGATATTGAAATTACGCCAATTAATAACCCTACAGCCTCTAAGTGTTCAAGTGAAAGGAAGAGTCGCACATCTCTCACTTTAAATCAAAAGCTAGAAATAATTAAGCTTAGTGAGGAAGGCATGTTGAAAGCCAAGACAGGCCAAAAGCTAAGCCTCTTACACTAAACAGCTAAGTTGTGAATGCAAAGGAAAAGTTCTTGAAGGAAATGAAAAGTGCTGTCCCAATGAATATATGAATGATAAGGAAGTGAAACAGCCTTATTGCTGATATGGAGAAAGTTTTAGGGATCTGGATGGAAGACTAAATCAGCCACAACATTCTCTTAAGCCAAAACCTAGTCCAGAGAAAGGCCCTCACTCTTGTCAGTTCTTTGAAGGCTGAGAGAGGTGAGGAAGCTGCAGAAGAAAAGTCTGAAGCTAGCAGAGGTTGGTTCCCAAGGTTTAAGGAAAGAAGCTGCCTCCATAACATAACAGTGCAGGATGGAGCAGCAAGTGCTGATGCAGAAGCTGCAGCAAGTTCTCCTGGAGATCTAGCCAAGATCATTCATTAAGGTGGCCACATAATCAACAGATTTTCACTGTAGATGAAACAGCCTTATATTAGAAGAAGATGCCATCTAGAACTTTCATAGCTAGAGAGAAGTCAATGCCTGGCTTCACAGGGCTGTCTGGCTCTCTTGTTAGGGGCTAATGCAGCTGATGACTTTAAGTTTAATCCAGTGCTCATTTACCATTCCAGAAATCCTAGAGCTCTTAAGAATTATGCTAAATCTACCCTGCCTGTGCTCTATGAATGGCACAACAAAGCCTGAGTGACAGCAAATCTGTTTACCACATGGTTTGCTAGTTTTAAAAAGCATGGCTAGTTTGATCTTCTAGCCAGACCACTAAAACTTTCTCCATGTCAACAATTAGGCTGTTTTGCTTTCTTATCATTCGTGTGTTCACTGGAGTAGCACCTCTAATTTCCTTCAGGAACTTTTCCTTTGCATGGTTTCCTTTACATGGTTTTACATGGTTTATTGAATATTTTAAACCCACTGTTGAGACCTACTGCTCAGAAAAAAGAGATTCCTTTGAAAATATAACTGTTCATTGACAGTGTACCTGGTCACCCAAGAGCTCTGCTGGAGACGTACAAGATTGTTGTTTTCATGCCTGCTAACACAGTATCCATTCAGGAGCCCATGGATTAAGGAGTAATTTCGACTTTCAAGTTATTAAGAAATTTTATTTTGCAAGGCTATAGCTGCCATAGATAGTGATTCCTCTGATGAGTCTGGGCAAAGTAAGTTGAAAACCAGGGAAGGATTCACCATTCTTTGCCATTAAGAACATTTGTGATGTGTGGGGAGAGGTCAAAATAACAATATTAACAGGTGTTGAGAAGAAGTTGATTCTAACCCTCATGAATGACTTTGAGGGGTTCCAGACTTCAGTGGAAGAAGTAAACTGCAGATGTGGTGGAAACAGCAAGAGAACTAGAAGTAGAAGTGGAGCCTGAAGATGTGACTGAATTGCTGCAGATGAGTAGTTGCTTCTTATGAATAAGCAAAAAAATGATGTCTTGAGGTGGAATCTACTCCTGGTGAAGATGCTGTGAAGATTGTTGAAATGACAACAAAGGATTTAGAATATTACGTAACCAGTTGATAAAGCAGTGGCAGGAGTGAGAGGATTAGTTCCAGTTTTGAAAGAATTTCTATCTGGGTGAAATGCTATCAAATAGCATCACATGCTATGGAAAAATCATTCATCAAAGAAAAAGTCAATCGATGCGGCAAACTTCATTGTTGTCTTTTTTTTTTTTTTAAAGATTTTTTTTTTCCCTTTTTCTCCCTAAAGCCCCCTGGTAGATAGTTGTATATTCTTTGTTGTGGGTCCTTCTAGTTGTGGCATGTGGGACGCTGCCTCAGCGTGGCCTGATGAGCACTGCCATGTCCGCGCCCAGGATTCGAACCAACGAAACACTGGGCCGCCTGCAGTGGAAGTGCAAACTCAACCACTCGGCCACAGGGCCAGCCCCTCATTGTTGTCTTACTTTAAGAAATTGCCATAGCCACCCAACCTTCAGCAACCACCACCCTGAGCAGTCAGTAGCCTTCAACAGAGAGGCAAGACTCTCCACCAGCAAAAGGATTATGACTGGCTAAAGGCTCAGATAATGGTTAGCATTTTTTAGCAATAAAGTATTTTTTAATTAAGGTGTGTACGTTGGTTTTTTAGACATAATGCTATTACACAGACTACAGTATAGTGTAAACCTAACTTTTATATGTACTGGGAAACCAGAAAACTCGTGTGACTTGCTTTATTGCAATAATCGCTTTATTGCAGTGGTCTGGAACCATACCTACAAATCTCGGAGGTACACTTGTGCAAATTTTGAGATTTAGTTTTCTCTTTTGACAGTTATCTTTGGAACTCCGTAAGTACTAGGACGTTGTTAGTTTCCAGACAAAGTGTTTGGTTAGCCTCAGTCCAAAAAAGTAGTAACATACTGATAATGTTTATTCTTCTATACTTTAAAGTTTTTATTAATTTGAAATGGTTTAATGATGTTATATTTAACTGATAAGTGTTATACCAAGAACCAGTTTCTCCACTTAAGATAGAAACCTTCTCTAATTTATGAGATTATATTGTGCAAGTTGGTGTTCTCAAATCCATGCCACTTTTATACAAAATAGAAAGAGCATTATAAATCTTAGTTAAGTTCCCAGGCTAATCCACAGAGACACATCCATAACCTCATGTTGCTGACTTCTGATAGTAATTATACTGACTAGGACTTGGGAGTGAGACAGGACAGGAGAGAGTAGGAGAAAGAGGAGCCCTCTCTCTTTGCTGCTACTAATGTATGAATAGCAGTAAGGGTTGGCTTTTCCAGAGTCACTTGTAATTTTAAATTTTGAACTCTAAAGAACCATTGGTAGAATTTTAGCCAGTGTAGTTTAGAGATTTAAGGGAGAAATATTTTTGCCGTGGGCTCAGTTACATTTTACAAATCCCTGAATTCAATTTTATTCAGTAAATTGCTTTTAATTACTTCTTCCTTCTTTCCAGGTTTGAATTCACATATTCTCTAAGTGCTAAACGTATACACAATTGTGTAGGAGTAGTTACTGGTATGGGGGAAGGACAGTGGTCACAGTTTATATGGGATGGTCTTTCGAAAGTTGGGACTAGGACCTTTTGTTTTGGAGAAGGTGTATGTGGAGCAAGTGGATATATGAGTTGTTTTGTTTTTCCTGGAAAGATCCTCTTCTTTATGTTACTTTGTATAATTTAAGTGTTTTCTTTTTCTTATAGGTTTATGGTAAATATACCAGCTCTAGAACAAATGAGTCAGATTTTACACATCTTATTTATATTTTTACCCTTTCTGTGGGCACTTGGGACCCTGCCCCCGCCTGATGCACTTTTCTTATGGGCAATGGAGCAGGTTTTAGAGTTTGGCCTTGGAGGTTCATCTATGTCAACCCACCTCCGGTAATTATTTTAAATGTTACAGTTATATTTGACTTATTCTTAAAGAACTTTCCTTTTCAAGCAAATCTTTTCTTCTCTTTTTTTGCCCTGCAGGTTATTAATGATGTTCATCGTTTCTGCTGGAACAGCTGTAACATCATATTTCATTCCCAACACTCTTGGTGTGGTTCTTTTCATGACTGGACTTGGATTCTTACTTAGTCTTAACCTAAGTGAAATGGGTTTTGTCTTCAAACACAGTGTAACGAGACACAGAGTTGGAACCAAATCTAAGGCTTTACCTAGTGGCTCCAAAAAACAGTTTACTTGGAAGGAATGCCTTTTCTACATTGTTGTATTAGTCTTGGCTCTCTTAGAAACTAGTTTGCTGCATCACTTTGCTGGTTTCTCACAGATTTCCAAAAACAGTCCCCAGGCTATTGTTGGCTATGTTTTGATGATATTACTTACATTACTGTGGTTACTTAGAGAAATTCAGAGTGTCTATATCTTTGGAATTTTCCGAAACCCTTTCTATCCAAAGGATGTGCAAGCTGTGACTTTATTCTTAGAGAAGCAAACAAGGCTCCTGAAGATTGGTGTTGTCAGGCGGATTTTGCTAAATCTAGGTAGGAAGATAAAATCTATAACCTTGTGTTATATCTAGGAAGTGTACAAAAGTTTAATGGAATTCTCATATTTGTGTAATATACTGCATAAAAGTGTTTATTCTTTTATTTTTTAATTTGTTCATTAGTTTTTTTACTTAATTGCTTAGAAGTACTCATTAAAAAACTCATATTGGCCTGAGTAAAATGTGGTAGAAGGGGTTACTTTGCCTTAATTAAATCCATCTTTTTTTTGTTTGTCTTAGTGTCACCTTTTGCTATGATAGCATTTCTTTCATTGGACAATTCCTTACAAGGGCTCCACTCTGTGTCTGTCTCCATTGGATTCACAAGAGCTTTTAGAATGGTAATCCTAATATGCACTTAATAGTATTTTCCTATTCCTACATTTGTGATTTTTACTCTTAACAGTTTACTTAGATTATCAAATTCTACCTAATAAAGTGGATACTTTGTGTACTGCAGGTATGGCAAAATACAGAAAATGCTTTATTGGAGACAGTCATTGTATCAGCAGGGCACTTGCTGATCCCCAGTACAGACATATGGTGGAACAGAAGCCTGGATACAGGAATCAGACTCTTACTGGTAAGTATAATTTTTAACAGCTTTATGAAGATGTATTTCATATACCATAAAATCATCCACTTAAAGTATATACTTCAGTGGTATATATTCAGAATTTTGCAGTCATCACCACAATCTAATTTTAGAACATTTTCAACATTCCAGAAAGAAACCTCATGCACATTAATAGTCATTCCCCATTCCCACTCTCCATCCCACCCACCCTCCACTCCAGCCCCAGCAACCATTAATCTACTTTCTGTCTCTGTGGATTTGCCTATTCTGGACATTTCATGTGAATGGAATTATGCAATCTGTATTCTTTGCATCTGGCTTCTTTCACTTAGATGTTTTCAAGGTTCATCCATGTTGTAGCATGTATCAGTATTTTATTCCTTTTTATTGCCAAATAATATTCTGTTGTATGGATATACCACTATGGTTGAATCATTCATCAGATGTTGGATATTTAGGTTGTTTCCACTTTTTGACTATTATAAATAATGCTGTGAACATTCGTGTATGAGTTTTGTACGGACGTAGTGTTCATTTCTCTTGGGTATGTGTACCTAGGACTGAATTTCATTCGTGTAGGCACAATATGTTTAACACTGCAAGATATTGCCAAACATTTTTCCAAAGTGGTTGCGCCATTTTACATTCCCACCAGCACTGTATGAGGATTGTAATTTCTCTATATCTTCGCCAATACTTGTTATTATATGACTTTTTCATTATAGTCATTCTAGTAGGTATGAACTACTATCTCATTGTGATTTTGGTTTGCGTTTCTCTGAATGTTAATAATGAATCTTTTCATATGTTTATTTGCCATTTGTATATGTTTTTTGAGAAATGTCTGTTCAAATCTTTTGCCCATTTTTACTTGGGTTGTCTTTTTATTGTTGAGTTGTAAGAGTTCTTTGTATATTCTGGATACACGTTCTTTGACAGATATAAGCAAAAATTTTCTCCTGTAGGTTTTCACTTTCTTGATAATGACCTTCGAATCAAAAAAGTTTTTAATTCTTTTTTTTTTTTAAGATTGGCCCTGAGCTAACATCTGTTACCAATCTTCTTTTTTTCTTTCTTTCTTTTTCTTCTTCTCCCCAAAGCCTCCCAGTACATAGTTATGTATTCTAATTGTAGGTCCTTCTGGTTCTGGTATGTGGGATGCTGCCTCAGCTTGGCTCAATAAGTGGTGCTAGGTCCACACCCAGGATCCAAAATGGCAAAAACCCTGGGCCACTGAAGCAGGTCATGCAAATTTAATCACTAAGCCACAGGGCCAGCCCCAAAAGTTTTTAACTTTGATGATGTTCAATTTAATTATTTTTCTTTTGTCATTTGTATTTTTGGTGTCATATCTAATAAACACTGCCTATTCCAAGATCAGAAAGATTTACTATGTTTTCTTCTAAGAGTTTCACAGTTTTAGCTCTTACGTTTGAGGGCTATGATCTACTTTGAGTTGCTTTTTGTATATCATGTGAAGTAGAGTTCCAAATCCATTCTTTTGTGTATAGATGTACAATTGTCCCAGCATCATTTATTGAAAAAACTATTCTTCTCTCAATGAGTTTTCTTGGTACCTTTCTCAAAAATCAAATGACAAATGTGAGGGTTTATTTCTGGACTCTCAGTTCTTTTCCATTCATCTATATGTCTGTCCTTATGCCAGTGCTACGCTGTCTTGATTATTACAGCTTTGTAGTAGGTATTGAAATTTGGAAATGTGAGTCTTCTGGCTTTGTTTTTCTTTTTAAGTATTGTTTTGACTGTTCTGGTACCCTTGTTTTACCAATTGAAAGTTTCAGCTTTTCAGTTTTTGCAAAACCACATCTGAGACTTTGATAGGGATTGCCTAAAATCTCTATATCAATTTGGGGAGTATTGCCATCTTAAAAATACTAATTCTTCTTTTCCATGAACTTGAGATGTCTTTACATTTATTTATATCTTCTTTATTTTAAGTGTTTGTAGTTTTTGGTGTACAAGTTTCATGCTTTAATTAAATTTTATCCTAAGTATTTTATTCTTTTTGATGATATCATAAACGGAATTGTTTTCTTAATTCATTTTGGGTCTTGTTTATTGCTAGAGTATAGAATACAATTGATTTTTTAATATTAATCTTGTATCCTGAAACATCACTAAACTCCTTCATTAGTTCTAATAGATTTTTAGTGGATTTCTTAGGATGTTCTGTATATAAGATCATGTTTTCTGCAAATTAGGTATAGTAAAGATAGTTTTACTTCTTCCTTTCCAGTCTGAATGTTTTTCATTTTTTTTATTACCTAATTACCCTGGCTAGAACCTCCAGTAGAATGTTGAATACAAGGAGTAAGAATGGACAACTTATGAGGAAAGCATTCAGTCTTTCTCCATTAAGTTGATGTCAGTGTTTTACCATTAAGTATGATATCAACTGCCCATTTTTTGTAGATGCTGTTTGTCAGGTTGAGGAAGTTTGCTTCTATTCCTGGTTAAGTCTTTTTATCATTAAGGTGTCAGATTTTGCCAAATGCTTTTTCTGAGTCTTTTGAAATGGTCATGTGGTTTTGGTCTTTTAATCTATTAACATGGTATAATACATTGATTTTCAGTTTTTAAACCAACCTTTCATTCCTGGAATAAATTCTACTTGGTCATGGTGTGTAATCCTGTTTATATGTTGCAGGATTTAGTTGGCTAGCATTTTGTTGAGGATTTTTGTGTGATTAGTATATACATATAGCTTTCTTTTCTTATGTCTTTGATTTAGATATCAGAATAGCACTAACCACATAGAATGAGTTGGGAATTTCATGTTGATTATTCATAAATGTTTTGTAGTATTCAGTATGTATCTTAAATATACTGTAGTATGTAGTATTTTGTAGTATGGAAGCCATCTGGTCCTCGACTTTTGTGTGGGTAGCTTTTAAATTACTAATTCAATTTCTTTACTTTTTGTAGGTCTATTCAGATTTTCTGTTTCTTGAGTCAGTTTCAGTAATTTTTGTCTTTCTACACTTATCAGTTTCATCTAAGTGATATAATTTATTGGCATCCAGTTGTTCATAATATTATTTTATAATCCTTTTTATTTTTTTCTGTAAGATTGCTGGTAATGTTATTTCTCTCATTCCTGATTTCGGTAATTTGAGACTTCTCTGTTTTCTTTCTTGGTCAGTCTAGGTAAAGATTTGTCAGTTTTGTTGATCTCCCCAAAAAACCAGCTTTCAGTTTCATAGATTTTCTCCATTGTTTTTCTCTTCTCTATTTTATTAATTTCCTCTTTAATCTTTATTAGTTACTTACTTCTGCTTACTTGAGGTTTAGTTTTCTCTGTTTTTCTAGTTTCCTAAGGTGGACAATTAAGGTACTGATTTGAGCTCTTTCTTCTTTTTTAGTGTAGGCATGTACAACTATAAATTTCCCTCTGAACACTGTTTAGGCTGTATCACAAGTTTTGGTATGTTGCATTTTTGTTTCATTCATCTCAAGATGTTTTCTTATTTATCTTGTGATTTCTTCTTTGACTCACTGGCTGTTTAGGAATGTGTCTTTTAATTTCCAGATTTCTTTCTATTGTTGATGTAATTCTGTTTTGGTTGAAGAACATACTTTGCATGATTTGTATGAACATACTTAGTATGATTTCAGTCTATTGAGTTTTGTCTTGCAGCATGACTTCTGTTTCTTAATCTGTAAAATACTCTCTAAAATAAGGGTAAATTAAGGATAGTTGCTTAACTACCACTTCTGGGTCTCATGACTTAACAAGCATGTAATACAAAAGATAGTCAACCTTAAGATATAGATAGCACTCTGTCAATTCTCTTTAATACTTTTTTGTTGTTAAGAGAGCCCAAACTTTTAAAAATATAGTCTCATTTATTAATTGTGAGATTGGAGAAAATTATAACGAAGAATCTTATATAAAGGGCTATTTCCTCAAAAATATTGGTGCAGTATTAATATAGAGTTTTCTTTATATTATCTTGAAAATGCATGAAAAGTCTTTAAGAATAAAAAGTATTATTTTTACATCTCTGCAGGTTGGTATCATGCGTGATCGTCTGATTCAGTTCATCTCTAAATTGCAGTTTGCTGTGACTGTACTTTTGGCATCATGGACGGAGAAAAAACGTAGAAAATCAACCACCACTTTATGTATACTCAACATTGTCTTCTCTCCATTTGTGTTGGTCTTCATAGTTTTTTCTACACTACTCTCTTCCCCCTTACTCCCCCTCTTTACCCTTCCTTTGTTCTTGGTGGGGTTTCCACGACCTAGTCAGAGTTGGCCGGGAGTGGTGGGCACTGCAGCCTGCGTGTGTGCAGATACAGTGTACTACTACCAGATGGTCCCAAATTTGACCGCTGCACTGCAGTCTGCGATGGCAGCTGGAAGTTTAGGTAAGTAAACCGGTTATGCTTGAGAAATCCTCACTAATGTATTTCAAGTACAAAAAAATGAACACAGAAAAACAGTCTTTTGATACAACCATTATACTCATTCTGATACTTTGATGTGCAGGCAGAAAGACTAAATACAAAATAGAAGTGTATCTCCTACTCCTTATTTTGAGATAAATAAAGTTATAAATAAAAATACTAAATAAAATAGTATTTTATTAAAATTAAAAATACTATAAATAAAAAATACTAAAAAGAAAATTTCATTAAGTTGATTTGACAATTTTTTAAAAATATTTTCTTTGATTAAAGTCAGGTTATAGTCCCACCATTGAAACATGAAAACACCTTATCTCCAAAATTTCCATGAATTTATAATGAGTTCATGTCAAGTAGATGCAATTGCTTAGACCCATAAAGAGTGAAAACTAGCCTCATGTGATGTCAGATTGAAGAGCTTAAGGAATGTGGCTTCTATCTTCTTAGTTATTGTATAGCTAGTTAAGCAATCTGACAAGGTTACAGGACAAGATAATGTAAGGCTTTGATCGTGATTGGTAGCCTCCCAATAGAAGTTCTGTGCAAATATTAGCAAGATTTTTGATGAGAAGGAACTGATTTTATGATAATTATAATTTTATGATTAATTTCATTGGACGCTAACTGCAAATTCAATTATGTTACACTTAATGTTGCTTTTCGATAAGGTATAAGCTGATGACAGTAGTTTGTTGTCTCCTACCATGTACCTTAGGTTTTGAAATTTGTTTTAGAACTGTTGCCACTTCCTGGCAAATTGATTCCAGGCAGAGTAGCAGTTTAAAATTAGGATTTTAATGAAATGTTTACTTGGGTTGAACTTTTCTAATTATCTGTTATGTGAGATAGTTTAGGAAAAATTTTATCTTTGTAGTACAAATATTTTATGAATAATCATTTTCCCTTCTTCTAGGAAATATTCTACACTTTTAGTACTTTTATCCAGTTCCAATTAATTTATATAATAATGCTGTGCCACTTTTTAAAATACCTGTAAGGTTAAACTCATATCTGAAATAATAAATTCCTTAGTAATAAGGTAGAAATTTTACTTTAATATCAAACCAATTACACTAAACCAAGAAGTATGTTATAAAGTATTTCCTGGGGAAAAAACAACAACAATGAGGTAACATTTCCCGCACATCTGATTGGCAAAAATGTAAAAAGTCTGACGTTACCAAGTATGGGTAATAGGAACTCTTGAACCTGTTGTAAGGGAATGTGTACATTCATACAACCACCTTGAAGGGTAAATTTATAGTCTGTAGTAAAGATGTACATATCCCATGGCCTAGGGATGCCAATTTTAGATTCCATGATCCAGTGATTCCAATTCTAGAGAAACTCTTGCACATATGTTTTGAGGGTCCCCGAGACCATTCCCAGGTGTGATAATTTGCTAGGAGGACTCACAGGACTCAGAGTATAGCCATACTCACAGCTAAGATTTATTACAGCAGAAGGATGTAGAGCAAAATCACCAGAGGGAAAAGTCACATGGGATAAAAGAGACCAGGTGCAAAGCTTCTAGGCGTCCTCTCCCAGTGGAATCACCCAGAACGTGCTTAATTCCCCAGCAACGCGTTGTGACAACGTGTGTTATGTTGACTACCAGGGAAGTTGATTCGATACTCAATATGCCTAGGACTTTCATTGGGAGCTGGTCATGTAGGCACCCTCTGCCTAGCACGTACCAAATTCCCAAAGGAAAGCACATGTTCGGTATAAACTGTATTCCTTGCACAAACAGTTTTGTTCAGTGTAAACTGTATTGTTTGCACAAACAGTTGAGGCACGAGAGACTCTTTATCAGTTAGGGTGGTGAGAACTCTCCTGAAATACAAGTTCCCAGATGCCAGCCAAGGGCCAATTTTGTAAGCAGACCTTTCAGAGGATGGCAGTCAGTTCTGTTATGTTAACTCTTTTCTGCACAACACATTGTACAAGGAGACTTGCACAAAGGTAATTTCTGCAGCATTATTTAGAATAGTGAAAAATTGGAAACATCTGAAATGTTTATTAACAGGGAAATGAATATTCAAGTTCAGCTTTATTTATACAATGAATTCTCAATGTAGTTACAGTGAATAACTTTGAGCTGCTTATAATCAACATGGGCAAATCTCAGAGACATACTATTGAGAGAAAAACTAAGTTTTTAAAATATTTGTATAGTATGTAGAACTTTATGTAAATTTTCAACACCACAAAACATTTTTATATACATGTATATATAAATGTACAAAATCTTTTAAATCATTAATGTGAAGTTGGATTTTATATATTTAATACTCTTCCTAATATATCTAACATGTATTTAGGATTTCATATAGCAAGTTCTAATTTCTTGTTTTTCTGGAAAAGATATCCTTGAATTCTTGTTTATTATCACCTGTAGATTTTCTCTTGCAACTGTTCCTGTAAAGAGCTTAATTTAATGCCTTCTGTTATGCAATAAATATTTGTTTCTATTCTTGACATAAAAAGAGGGTAGATGGAGTTATGAATTAGTTCCAATTATGTTATCAATTTTGAAGATTCACATGGAAAAATAAAACAAGCTTGAACAATTACTTTCTTTTTTCTTTTCTGATTTCTTTTAGGTCTCCTCTTACCTGGGTCTCATTACTTGGGCCGTTTTCAGGATCGTTTAATATGGATAATGATTCTAGAACATGGCTATACTTACTGCTGTATTAACATTAAGGTCAATGTTCATTTGAAACCTCTTTAGTATTTTTATAGTATGTGTGTAAAATTTTACCTGTTATGTGCACATAAAACACTATTAATATCTCAGTTTGAAAGACTATCTTTTAATTATCTGTAAAAACACTTAGGGATTTTTAAAGTATATTTCAATATGCACATATTGATAGGCAGACTAGTGTCGATTGTATATCAGAGCATGGTAACAAAATATACCTGCCCCCTTTTCTTCCAGTCCTTTTCTTTTTATCCCTATCTAGTTGAGCATCTCAAAAGTGTGACTTGGTAATATTTTTTTCACTCTTCTATCATATAAGCGTTCTCAACTTAATAAAAACCTTCTTTTGACCCCACTGCCCCTACCTGCTACACCCTGTTTTTCTCTTTCCTTTTAGAGGAAAATTCCATATTAGAGTTGCTTATAGTCATATCTCTAATTTCATTTCTCTTATTCTGTCTTCAATGTAGTCTAGGTTTTTGACTCTGTTACCTATTACTCCACCAAAAACTGCTCTTGCCTAGGTCTCCAATGTGGCTGTCACATTGCTAAATCCAATGGTCAATTCTCAGGCCCTTACCAGACCTATCAGCAGCATTTGGCACGTTGATCTTTTCTTTTGATTTGTTTCATGGGTTAATCCTCGTCAGTCTCCTTTGATGGTTCCTTCTCTTTTCCTTGACCTTTTAACATCAGAGTGCCCCAGGGCCCAGGAGTCCTTGGTGAGAACTCCATTCTTCTAGCTGCTCAGCCCAAAAACATTTGGGCTTTAGTCCAGTGATATTTGACTCCTTGTTTACTTCCATACCCCGCATCCAATCCAACAAGAACTCCTGTTGGCTCCGCCTTTAAGCCATATTCTGTATCCTGCCACTTCTCGTCACCATGCTCTCTGTCACCTTCATCCTTTTCCTGGATAATTGCAATAGCCTCCTGATTGGTCTCCCTGCTTCTCCCTCTGCCCCACTACAGTCTATTCTCGACCAGCGTGATCTTCAAAATCCAGTCAGATCATGTTACTTCTCTACTCAAAACCCTGCAGTGGATCTCTTCTTTCGTTCAGAGTAGAAGCCAAGGCCCTAAATGGTCAAGCTCCCCCTATTTCCTCTTTGGCCTCATTTACTACTTTAACCTTCTCACTCTGCTCGAGCCTACTGGCTGTTCCCTCTGCCTGGAACATGTTCTTCAGATAACCACACAGCTAACTCCTTTACCACCTTTAAATCTTTGCTCAAATGTCACCTTCTCAATGAGGTATCCTATGGCCATTCTGTTTAAAATTGCACTCTCATTCCCATCCCCTCATTCCCAATCCTTCTTCCTTTGCTTTACTTTTTCTTTATTTTCATAGCACTTATACATTCTAACAGACCATGTAATTTACTTAGTTTTACTGTTGATGCTTGTGTCCCTCCACACTCTAATGTAAATGTCACAAGGACAGGGATCTCTGTTTTTATTTGGAAGATATGTCCTAAGCCCCTGGAACAAGGCCTGGCACATAATAGGCCCTCAAGAAATATTTGTTGAATGAATGAATTTTTTGTCTTAGCACAGATTGGACAACATTGCTAGTGACTAGAAAGCTGTTCCTTTAGTCCAGTGGTTCTGAAAATGCAGTTCCCCAGATTAGTAATTACTAACATTTTGTGGGAACCTGTTAGAAATGGAAATTCTTGGGCCCTACACCAGAGTTACTGAATCAGAAACTCTGGGGCCCAGGAATCTTGCCTTTTAACCAGCCTTCCTGTGACGCTGACTCATCTAAAGTTTGGGAACCTCTTCTCTAGTCTAACCTCTACAAGTAGGAGAAGGCAAAAAATTATGCAGAATATTGAGGATGTTTTCATTGCTTAATATAGTTCTATTTTTAAAATGGTATGGTTTTATAGTACCTCATAATGTGGGTCCTTTTATTGATCTTTTGTGCTCTGTGACATATGTGGTGTAAAGATACACATTTTGGTGGCAGTCTTTTTTCTTTCTATTTCATTTTTTTGGACACAAGCTTGCTTAGCTATACCATCTACCAACATTTACATAAGGCATTACAGTTTACAAGCACTTTCATTGCTTACTTTAATCTTTACAACCTTATGTACTGGGATTATTTTTCTTTGAAAGAGAAGGAAAAGGAATCTCAGAGAGGATAGGTGACCTACTCAGGATTCTGTACGAGCATCTGACAGAGCTATGATTTAAAACAGCTTCTGATGTCATTCCATGTTCTTTCCCTAGATTATAATATAGCCTGACACCATTGCCTTTTATTAAAGGCACTGATAGTTTTGTAAAAATGTATAATTTAGATAAACAATAATTATAATAATAGTAAACAGTGACCTGGTACATCTTCTTCAAGTGATTCATTCTAGGGAAGTAATCAAAATGTGTTTAAAATTCATATAAAAACATATCCATAATATTCATTCTTTCAACATACATTTTTTGCATACCTGCTGTGTGCCAGCTACTGGTTTAGGTACTATGGATATAGCAGTAGCAAAGCTTTATGAAGTTTACTTTGTAGTTGGAGGAGACACACAATAATTACTCAAATCTCTGATATTATTATTATGTTATTATTTTAAAAGCTAGAACAGGAGACTAGTTAAACAAATTATGGCATATCCATACAGTATAATAATGCTATCATATAAAGTAGGATGGAAAGGATATGCACAAAAATACTGTGCATATTGTGTAATCCCAATTTTGCTTTCTTTCCCTCCCAAAAAATTTTTATGATTTAAGGACGTTTTTAAGGGCCAGCCCCGTGGCCAAGCGGTTAAGTTCACATGCTCCACTTCGGCGGCCCAGGGTTTCACTGGTTTGGATACTGGGCGCAGACATTGCACAGCTCATCAAGCCATGCTGAGGCGGCATCTCACATAGCACAACCAGAAGGACCTCTAACTAGGATATAAAACTATGTACTGGGTGGGCTTTAGGGAGAAGAAGAAGGAAAAAAGAGATTGACAACAGATGTTAGCTCAGGTGCCAATCTTTGGAAAAGATAAAAACTCTCATACTTGCCTAGGTATTATCTTGTCATAAAAAAAAGAAAGATTTTAATAAGTGTGATTCAAACTTAACTACAGATATAGTCTTTTAAACTTAAAATGATACTCAATAAAATTGTTTTGCCAATTTCTAGTGGAATTTCTATAATTTCTTTTAAAATAGTAGCATTATTTTTCATCTCTGTATCCAACATCGTCTGTTAAGTGCCATTAACTGAGTTAAGGTGTAACTCTTCAGTAAAAGAAATTTTTTTGAATTTTCCGTATTTTTATTATGAGAATCCAATCCATGGGCATTTACAGAACTAGCTGCTTTTCTCTGTGTAATAAGTCATCATAAACTCAAGTACTTTTTTCCCCTCTTTAGGGATTAGAATTGCAAGAGACATCCTGTCATACTGCTGAAGCTCGAAAAGTTGACGAAGTTTTTGAAGGTGCCTTTGAACAAGAAGAATACACAAGAGTATGTTCCATTAGTGAACACTTTGGAAATGTCTTGACACCCTGTACCGTTTTGCCTGTGAAACTCTATTCTGATGCCAGGAGTGTCCTATCTGGCATAATTGATTCTCATGATAACTTGAAAGAATTTAAAGGTGACCTTGTTAAAGTGCTTGTGTGGATACTTGTTCGGTACTGCTCCAGAAGATCTAGCATGCAGGAGAATGTTCACAAAATTGAAAATAAAGGGAAAGCATCTCTAATAATCCTGCCTGACTTGAATACTTCACCACAAACCCAATCCCCAGAAGATACAGGTAGTTTAAATTCAGAAACTTTGGATGACTGGTCTGATGACAATGTTTTTGATGATGAGACAACTATCAAAACAGGAAAAGAAGAGAAAGATCAGTTGAAAGTTTTGCAAGATATAAATGTGCCTATTCCAGGATCAGTAGTATCACAGAGGGTTGATGATCATTCTACTGGCACAGTTCCTGAAAACAGTCTTTACAAAGCAGTTATATTGGGATACCCTGCTATTGACAAAGGAAAACATGAAGACATGGTGTTTATCCCTCTCAAGGAGTTCAGTTGTCCTCATTCTCACTTGTTAAGCTTACCGGAAGAGTGGACATCTAACTGTTTGCCTAATTCCAAAATGAGGGAGATGAGCTCATTATTTCCAGAAGACTGGTACCAATTTGTTTTAAGGCAGTTGGAATGCTTTCATTCAGAAGAAAACGTCCCAAATGTACTGGAAGAAATTGCAAAGGATAGAGTTTTAAAAGACTTCTATGTTCATGCAGTACTGACTTGTTATTTTAGTTTGTTTGGAGTAGACAATATGGTTCCTAGTCCTGGTCATATACTGAGAGTTTACAGTGGTGTTTTGCCTTGGTCTCTTTCCTTGGATTGGCTCACAGAAAAGCCAGAACTATTCCAACTAGCACTGAAAGCTTTCAGGTAATTCATTTTGATTATATACAAGTTGTAACATTGGCAGAAAAATGTTGATTTTTTTTATAACCTAGAAGGAGATACTCCTTCATTTCTAATTTTAAAAAATAATTGCTGTCCTAAAAATGAGAAAAATGCTATGTATTGTGATTATATCAGGTGTATAATTTGTACTTCTTTCTGTTTTCTTCATGTGGAGAAACTATTTTTCATTTGGCTTACTGGATTTCTTCACTTTAATTTCATCATTTTTCCGTAATCTTTTTATCTGAAATATGTATCATTTCAGTTCAATGTCTTAAAAATATTGATTGAACAAATCTATTTCATCTATAAACTTGATTTTAAAAACTCTAAAATTCTTTGTTTTCCATTTTTCAGATATACTCTGAAACTAATGATTGATAAGGCAAGTTTAGGCCCAATAGAAGACTTTAAAGAGCTGGCTGGCTGCCTGGAGGAATATGAAAGGGACTGGCACATTGGTTTGGTATCTGATGAAAAGTGGAAGGAAGCAGTTTTACAAGAAAAACCATACTTGTTTTCTCTGGGGTATGATCCTAATATGGTAAGTTAAAAGTGTGTTTTTAAACATTTTCATGTATTAACCTTCAAGAACAGAAATCAGTTATAAAGTATTTGAACCAAGTGATAGAGATAGAACATTCTAGGTATGGATATATTAATTACAGTTTTAAGACATTTGTAATCATGCCTTTATGGCCAACATAGTCCAATCCTAAAATGACTGATTATTTACTTTGGAAATAATCTAATTTGGCATCTAATAGGAGCCAATTAAAAATGTTGAGTAGGGGCTGGTCCAGTGGCACAGCAGTTAAGTTCACACACTTTGCTTCGGCAGCTCAGGGTTCACTGGTTCGGATCCCGAGTACGGACCTATGCACCACTTAGCAAGTTACGGTGTGGTAGGCATCCCATATATAAAGTAGAGGAAGATGGGCACGGATGTTAGCTCAGGGCCAATCTTCCTCAGGAAAAAAAGAGGAGGATTGGTGGTGAATGTTGTTAGCTCAGGGCTAATCTTCCAAAAAAAAAAAAGTTGTGTAGCCATTGTTCAATAACTGACCTATGAAATAGCCAAGTAAATGTAATTGCTATAGCATATTTGACTAAATGGATTGTATTCTTATGCCAAATTCAAGTGTATTAATTATCGCTTTAGATTTGACTCCAAAGAAAAATTAATTTGTAAGTGGCATAGTATTTCTTTTGCTGACATCCATACGTAAATTTGCAGCAAATCTGACCTATGACAATTAAGAAAGACTCCAAATCGGGATTGACTTTTTAAGATTTAGTACTTGTTGTCATTGCATTTAAAATGTCATCGAGTGTGCACGGTATGAAAGATTCAATGTTATGAGCTTATTGTGGGTTCCACATCTGGCATTATAGCCTGAGGAGCTCCACAGATACACTCCCCAATGAAAATGACTAAAGTTTTTTTTTTAAAATAGCCATTTAAAGTCTTGGAAATGGTCCTAATGGCTACAGCAAATGAAGAAACATTTATTCAAGAAAATCAACTAAAACCCAATAAGAACAGTGTGAGACAGTAATATTTGAACTGAGACCCATTCCCTCCCAGCTCAGTAAGATGGAAACTCCATTCAGACTGGTATAGTCAAGAACACAGGGCTCCCTCTCCCCTCAGCTCCCCGGTGAAGGGCTATTTTCCTGGGAGAGGCAGGACTTCAGCGTTTCTCATCTTACTCCCAGATACCTATTGTGAAGCTGAGTTCTGGGCGTGTGTAATTAGGAGATGGGAAGTCTCTTCTGGCCAACCTGACTCACTGGGTGGAGGCTTTACCCTGGGCATGGTGCTGCTGAGAATACTGGGGACCTAATAACCCTTGCTTACTCATAAGGTGGAGGTTCCACACTGGGAGAGGCAAGCCAAGAAGACCTGAGATTACTGATCACCCTCTACCAAGTGCTCATGTCCTAAGGCAGGGATGTCACTGAGAGAGAAGCATGCCATTGTCTCACCTCCAGATTCAGAGCTCTGGCTTAGAGATTTTGCTCAGTGGAAGAAGCAAACCGTAAAAAAAGAACCCAAATCTCTTCCCAAAGGAACCAACTTTATTTTCAAAATAGTGTAAAAACATTGAAGCCTAAGATTCTCTTAAAAACTGTGGAATAATTAAAAGGCAATTGGTAAATTCCTTAAAGATATAAGCTAAACTGTAGGCTGAGTAGATTAACGGAGAGAACCAGGGAAAGAAACAGCAGAGAAGAGCTTTCCTGGAGTCAAAGTAAATCTCAAACATTGACCTCCAAAGCTGTTCTTTCAAAGGAGCCCAAATGTAATTGGATTAGTCTTTGGAGCCAATTTATGCCCCAGGTCATTGTTGAAAATGTAGAGAACCAGCTGGTAATTAGTGGAACTTAACAACTGGGTGTGAGCACTCAATAGACTAGAGCTCTGCCCAAACCACTGCCATCCCATGGTTTCACAAGGTGCACTCCCTGAGGTTGCAACATGAAAGACTTCACATTTTGGGGTGAAGGTAGGGATGGACTTCACTGAAGTTATTCAACCACTCACTAAACTAATAAGCAAATAGCAATAACAAGCCCTGGGGCAGAGGGTAGGGAGGATCAGTACCCAGAATTACTGCAGTGTTATCTAAAATGTCCAGTTTTCAACAAAAATTATGACATAAAAAGAAACAAAGTCTGACCCATACAGCAGGAAAAAAAGCAGACAACAGAAATTGCCTGTGAGAACGACGAGATGTCAGATTTACAAAGATTTCAAAGTAGCCATCATAAATATGTTCAAAAGACTGAAGGAAACCATAATTAAAGAAGTAAACAAAGTGGGTATAGAGGGAATGTACCTCAACATAATAAAGGCCATATAAGACACATAGCTAACATCATACTCAACAGTGAAAAGCTGAAAGCTTTTGCTCAAAGATCAAGAACAAGAGAAAGATGCCCACTTTTGCCACTGTTTTTTCACTATCGTATTGGAATCCTAGCCAGAGCAATTAGGCAAGAAAAAGAAATAAAAGGTGTCCAACTGGAAAGGAAGAAGTAAAACTATCACTATTCGCAGATGACATATCCAGAAAACTCTAAAGATTCCACCAGAAAACTTCTAGAACTAATAAACGAATTCAGTAAAGTCGAAGGATACAAAATCAATATATAATAATCTGTTGCATTTTTATACACTAATAACTGTCAGAAAGAAAAATTAACACAATTCAATGTGTCGATGAAAATAATCCATAACCAATCTGTAAATGAAAATTTGGGTGAGTTTATTCTGAGCTGAAATCTGAGGACCATGGCCCGGGGCCTTTCTTCCTAAAGGAAGAAAGGGCACCAAAGAAGTGGGTGCACAGAGTGGTTATATACCCCCAAACAGGGAGTTTCACATATGATTAAAATGTCCCTCCCACAATAGTCACAAGATTGCCCTATCGGCACAGCACTTGATGGACACAGCAGGTAGTGGGTCTACCATCTTGGTGGGTGTAGCAGGAGGCAAGTCTATTGTCCCGAGCTGGGCAGCCACAGGTGAGCGCAGCAATCAGTTTCTAGCCTAAGGAAAGATGATTAATCCTTAAGGAGACGCCAATGTTGGGAGGGGCAGGGAAGTTGCACCTTTACCTCAAGGGCCTTTGCTCTTGCCATAGGGAAAATCTAAAGCAGATATACAATGCATGCTCAACAGCCACGGTCAGGCCCTTTTGGAAAGACAAGGTCAGGCTGAATTAGGTTTATACCAAATGGCTTCCTCATATTCTCCAATATATCCTATTGCTTGCCATTTTTATTTGTCACATGTACAATTGCTTCAAAAGGAATAAAATACCTAGGAATAAATTTAACCAAAGAGGTAAAAGACCTATACACTGAAAACTGTTGGTCATTGATGCAAGAAATTGAAGAAGACACAAATAAATAGATATTCTGTCCTCATGGGTTGGAAGTTTTAATATTGTTAAAATGCCCATACTACTTAAAACAATGTACAGATTCAGTGTAATTCCTATCAAAATTCCAGTGACATTTTTCACAGAAATAGAACAAACAATCCTAAAATTTGTATAGAACCACAAAAGCTGCTGAGTAGCCAAAGCCATCTTGAGAAACAACAAAGCTGGAGGCATCACGCTTCCTGATTTCAAACTGTATTACAAAGCCATAGTAATCAAAATAGTATGGTATTAGTATAAAAACAAGCACACAGATCAATAGAACAGAATAGAGAGCTCAGAAATAAACCTGTGCATATATGACTAATTAATTTACAACAAAGGACCCAAGAATATACAATGAGGAAAAGACAGTCTCTTCAATAAATGGTGCTGAGAAAACTGGATAGCAACAAGCAAAAGAAGGAACTTGACCACTGTCTAACAGCATACAGAAAATTTACTCAAAATGGATTAAAGACTTGAATGTAATACCTGAAGACATAAAACTCCCAGAAGAAAACATAGGCAGTAAGCTCCTTGACTTTGGCTTTCCAATCATTTTTTGGACTTGACACCAAAGGCAAAGGCAGCAAAAGCAAAAATAAACAAGTGGAACTGCATCAAACTAAAAAGCATCTGCACAGGAAGGAAAACAATCAGTAAAATGAAAAGCAGCCTACCAAATGGGAGAAAATTTTTGCAAATCATATATCTGATAAGAGATTAATATCCAAAATGTATAGATTGCTGGGAAGATGGCATAGGAGGACTCTGAAAGCACCTCCTCCCACTGACACAGCAAACCTACAACTACTCTTGGAACAATTACCTCTGAGAGAGAACTGGAAACAGGATAAAAAGAATCCCCACAACAAGGGACAACATTGACAGGGATAGAAGAGGAAGAAATATACCTCTACTGAGGGAAAAAACCACTTCCTGGCCTGGGCACTTAACAGCTGGGAACAGTCTTAAGGTATAAAGCTTTTCCCAGAGCAGTAGGGCATCTGAGCAGGAGATCCATGCCACAGTAAGCATCCCAGCCTTTGAATTCAGCACAACCAAGATAAATTATCATAATACTTGGCTTTGCTGGCTTTTAAAAACAACTGGGAATACCCCCAGAAAAACTGTTGAACTTCAGAGAAAGAAATGCCTACTCTTAAAGGACCCACACACAGATTCACCCATTCAGGAAACTGTAACATCACCAGAAAGAAAGGTGCATAGTCCTTGGGTAAAAGAGACTCACTTGCTAAGCTCTGAGTGCATCTCAAAGAGGCAAGAGGCAGCTGGGCCCACCTCCTCTGGGACTGAGACACTGGCAGCAGCTGTTATTGTGACCTAGTATAGTAGTGCTGACACAGAAACTGGTAGATGCCATTGGATTTCTTCTTCTGACCTGTTAGCACAGGGAGAGGGTCTGCCCCACCCACTAGAGTACCAATTTAATCCAGCTGAGCCAAGGCAGGCAGCCTGCCCTATGGACTGGCCCCACCTACCAGCAAGCCCATGGAAAATTGGCAGGCCCATGTAGGTAGGGTGTGTGGGACCTCTGCAGCAGGGCAAGTGAGCGTGTGACAGGGTGGCCCTACATTGGCAGGGTGTG